ATATCAAAGGATTCTGGCCCCTTATAACTCCATCGATAGCATACAAACACATCAAATCATCAAATTCAGAAATCAAATTTCGTTAGAAAAATTGTCAGTGGCATAACGGTAGTATATGAAAACTCCACAGAATTCACAATTTCAGAAATTTACCAAATTACCATAGATAGCAAAAAACATCATTTCAAGACTTTAATTGTACAGAAGCAAATATTTTTAACATCCAAATAATTTGCTATTCGATAAAAACTCTGCAGAATTCAAAGTACCTTGTGAAAATCTTTTAAAAAATACTCAAAACGTGCAAAAATATCATCTTAGAAACATACCAAAGTTACGGGGTAAATCATTTATCAGCATGAAATAAAACTAGATATTCACTAACGGAAACAAAATTAGAAACAAAAAAGTCGTCAAAATCCACATTTCTGAAATTTGATAAAGGTGAAATGTGCCTTACCTCGAGTCGGTCAACTTTTTCATCTACGGCGACGAATGATAACAGACCAAGTCGCCCAAAATCTACTTTTCTTCCTTTTTCCTTTTTTTTTTCTCTCTCCTCAAAATTTTCTCTCTTCAAAAAGATCTCAAATAGATATATACAAAATAGGATCGTACGGGACGATTCCTATTCGTCCCAGGACGATTTATCCAATGGACAAAATTCGTTCAGACGAATTTGTTATCGTACTTGGATGACTTGCTCTCTGGAAAAATTTCATTCCGACGAACCTAAATTCATCCTGGAGCGAACCTCTCTTCCCCCAGGTTTTGAACTAATCGTCCCGGATGATCTCAACTTTGTCCGGACGAACCTAGAAGGAAAACCGGGTTTCACGTTATATAAATTCAAGTGGTTGTGGGAATCATTCATATAGTGGGGCTTTGGGAATGGTAATTGTGTGTGTGTTTGTGTTTTTTATTTTTGTAAGACAATTGGAGTGGTTTGGGTTCCTTAAACTATCTGTTTAATACTCATTCAATTTTGATTTTGAGTGTTTCTAATTTTTTATTTAATGGCTTTTCGAATTATAATTTTTTTTAGAGAATCTTCTTATAGATAGCGTTATGGAAGTTCCTAATGATATGAATATGGCTAATATTATGATGTGTAACAAATCTACTAATGTTGACTTCTCTCACAAAGAGGTCTAGATCTAGAGCTACTCTTAGGATTGTTTTTTAAAAAAATTGAAATTTTAACATTCATACTCCCTATTTTATTTTTACTTGATGGCTATTAAAAGGTTTCATCCCTGTAGATGAAAGGTTAAGATCTAAAGGCTTGAACAGTCTCTAAATGTTAGTATTATTTTCATGTCAAGTCTATTAATCATGCCTTCTTGAATAGGCATATTGATAGCAAAGTTTAGCTTTTTTTGGAGTCATCCTTGGACTTTGATTTGGACCGTTATCATAGTAATTGTTACTCTTTTTTGACTTTTTGTGTAAAAATTGTTTGGCTGGACATATAGCTATTATTATTCCTATGATTATTTTTTGGTTATTATGGAGTGATATGAATAATAGTAAGCATCAAGATATTAAAATGTTGTCTGACAAAATTCTTTTTAGCCTCAAATTTAGAATTCATCAAATGTTTGATGATAATTTACTTCTTCCTAAGCATTTCAAAGGTGTTTTTTCTTGGGCTAAAGTTTTCCCTATTAACTTTCAAGAAGGTTGTACTAGACACCTTTTTTGTATGGTCTATTGGCTAAAACTGTCCTTAAATTAGTTTAAATTTAATAATTATGGTTCTAATAATAAAGATGGGGCTAGTAGTGGGGGTATTGCTAGAAATAATGCTGGTGATATGATTTTTCCTTTTTGATCTAGGTGAAAGTTCAAAGCCTCTTCATCATCCAAATTTTTCATGTTGTTTTTCTGTTCACCTAGCATCTCTTCTATAGATCTTCCGGTAATATAGTGGGGATCAACGGGAACATATCTTTCACAGTCCATATGATATGGAGGGTTAATCTCAAGTTTCTCTTCTACTTTGGGCCTCTTTTATTTCCTGCTAAGTAAGAGGAGCTAGAAGTGACTTCATTTGAATAGGCTGAAATTTGCTTGATCCAAAAAGAGAAGAATTGAAAAGGCTTAGGTCCTCTTCTCCTAGCTCACCTTTTTTGCTCATGTGTTTAGTTACAATATTCTTTTTGCTGAAGCTACTGCTCTGTTACTTGGACATAAGTTTTGTTTTCAGTTTACTATCCATAATATTCGGATTGAATCAGATTCTTTAATTTTGGTTAATCTTGTTAAGAACATTTTTTGCAATAACTCTATTTTGTTATATTTCTTTAGACATATCGCTAATTATTTACAGAAAGTGGAGTTTACTATTTCTCATATCACTATATGTGGTAATTAATGTGCTGACTGGTTGGAATGATTAGATTCGACAAACTTGGTTTTCCTTCTTCGAAACACAAATGAGTATTGATGGAGCTATTGAAGTTCTCCTTTTCTATTATCATGTCTTATTCAAGTGGTTGTATTTTCCTTATGTGATGTTGTTGTTGTGGTTTTAGTTTATTTATTTCTTTTCCTTATGATGAATTCCTCTTGGTTGGTATTTTTTGGTGTTGCTAATTAGTTTGTCTTTATGCCCCTGTTTCGCCTGTTCTTTATCCTCTGTTCCTCCTTATGGTTATCGAGCTTTCTCTATGTTATGTTTTTTTTGCTTAATTTTGACAATTTGAGGTGTTGCTTTTTCTTTGTTTGGAGCCTATTCCCTTTCCTCAATTTCTTGCATGTTGTTTAAATCCTTTGTGGGATTAGATGATGCTTTGTTGATTTATCTTTCTGAGGCCTTTTGCTTTTCCTCAGTTTCTTTCAAGTCATTTTGATGCTTTGTGGTATCGATTGTTGCATCTGTGAAGACATATGTTGTGCTCTCTTTTTTTGGATTGGTACCCCGGTTGAATGTGCTGCATGAATAAATCAGTGTTCCAGCTGGTGGCTTGGTATTTTCTCTTATATGCTGATCCTATTCCATCTTTTGGCTGCTTTTGGGTTTGGCTTCTTGCCGGCCTCCAATTTTCCTTAGTTTTTATTGTTTGTTTTGTAATAGATAGGGTTCTTTGGTTCTTAGGTCTTCTTTTTATTTTTTTGATTGTAGGTCCTTGAGCCTTTGTGAGCTATTTGACCCTCTAAAAACTTGTAATCCTTTTTTTTTATTCAATGGGTAGGCCCTATATGGGTTTTCTCATATATATATATATATATATATATATATAAGTAAGTCAATTAAAGTAAACTCACACACACATCTCATACGTAAGACTTGAACTCAAGACCTCTTGTTTGGTAGCTAAAACTCCCAACCAACATACCAAGTTGAGCTGCGTAGACGCATGTTTTTATAACTATTGTAATTGGAAGAATTAATGTCAGATATTGGGAGTTAACTTTTGTTATTTCTTTTTGTCTAAGTGGTCATTTGAGATGATTGTAATCTTTTAAATATGATTATAAAGTTATTATAGGGAAAATACATTCTTTTAAGTTACTATAAAAAGAAAATTTTAAGCTTAAATATATTTTTAAACAATGAAAAATTATTAGTCAAACAAAAGTTATGATTGCGATCTAAAAAATAAAACAATAAGAAAGTTATACTAAACCCCAAGCTTAAAACTAAAGATTTCACATCATAATAGCGTGAGATCATGAGGACTTTTAGTTTGTATCTTTTAATTTTTTTGGGTGATAAGAGAGAAATAAGTGCTATTTTTTTTGGAGATATTTGAATCATTAAGGCAAATTCATATCCATATCATATGAGCAAATTTCAAAATCAAAACCTCTTGATTAGTAGTCAAAGCTCCCAACAAATATATCAATTAAGGAGAGCTGCAAATAAAGTTTTTGCTTAACTAATTATAGATGGTGGTGCAATGTCCAAATTAAAAGAGACTATTATATGCGGAATCCGGACATAGAGCTACTTCCCAACTCCCTGCACACACACTAGACAATGTTTGTAAATATGTGTATACACTAGATATACAAATGTACAATGTAAGTATAAGAGAGTCCAGTTTTAGCTCTACTTCTGAATTCCGCATATAATAATTTCCCTCAAATTAGACATTTATATTGAATTGGTGAAACCCAAAATTTTCTTTTCATTTTTCGGCCTACCAAAACCGATCTGAATAATACGTTTCGCTTCTTCCTTTCACGAATGTTTCAACAAAAGCTTTTAGTTAACAACTAAACTCTATTAGTCACTATCCAACAAAGAATGGCTGAAGAGGAAGAATGAAGGAATAACCTCATCTACTTTAATATCTTGTTGGAACACATTTAATTACTCCAATCAAACAGAACTTTGTTGACTAACGAAGGATGACAGAACATATTCCCGATTACAACAAGGATGGAGCTCAGCCATCACACGTGCGACTCCCGGACACACACGTGTTTATCCCACCCGTGTCAATGACGCTCCCTCTTTCATACCTATATAAACAAAGTCCACAGCCTGCAAACACCATTGCCAATCTCCTCTCTCTCTCTTTACCTTCATCCATTCTTCCTGCAGGGTTATTGAACAGAAAGGTAAATGAGGTTGAGCGATTCCATAATCTGAATATTTGATCTATAGGCTTATTGCATAATAGGCATTACTATTGATGAAGCAACATCATCTCTTTTAAGCAGCTTTGTGAATAAATTTTATTTTTTATTAGATCACTAAATATTGAAAAATGAATCATTCAAAGCATAAGAAATTTCTTACGCAATACTCATTTAAGAATTTCTTGTTTCTTGGCTATCAAATTTGAATAAGTTTATAGAGAGACAGAGGGAGAGAGAGAGGAAGAAATGTTGAATAAAACAAAGTCATAATCCACATTATTCATCTCAACAGCTCTCTATATTTCGTCATCAATATAAGAACAATTGAATGTTTCTTTCCACTTCCCTCCTTTATGCTCTGTTCTACTCTGTTCCAACGTTCTTCTTCTTTTTCTCCTCTCAGCACACGAAAACAAAATGGGAGCAGAAGGAGCAACCAAGGATCAGCATAATGAACCAGTCTCCGCCATGGACGTCTCCCTTGAGCTTGGATACAAACAGCTAGACCCCAATTCCTTGGACGACGATGGCCGTCCGAGAAGAACCGGTAACTCCTTTTCTCCAGTTGCCCAATCTACTTCCCCCCCTGCTTCTCCTTCTTCAACCTAACGCATATTTGTAATCATGACTAGGAACCACGTGGACGGCGAGCGCTCACATCATCACGGCAGTGATCGGCTCCGGCGTTCTATCCCTTGCTTGGTCCATCGCCCAGCTCGGCTGGATCGCCGGCCCCGTCGTTATGATTATCTTCGCATTTGTTATATATTACACCTCCTCCCTCCTCGCCGACTGCTACCGCTCCGGCGACCCCGTCACCGGCAAGCGTAACTATACGTACATGGAGGTCGTCCAGGCCAATCTGGGTCAGTTCTCAAACTCAGATCCTCTATCTGCTTATCTCGACACAATCGTTTAACTCGTATAAATTTTTGTATAACAGGCGGGATTAAGGTTAAGCTCTGCGGCTATATTCAGTATATAAATCTCTTTGGTGTTGCGATTGGATACACCATCGCCGCATCCACTAGCATGACGTGAGTACTTAAAACTTTTCTCCTCACATTGTTTTTTGAAAAAATGTTTCGAATGTTAAAAATAAAATTTAAATAAATAATTAACTTTTTCTACATATAAATATATTTTTACGTTGTAAAAATGATTATTCTATTTATTTAGTAAAATAGAAATAGTTTCTAAAAAACAGGCAGATCCTCATTAGAAAAATATCTCAAACTATTTACATCATTAGTATTAAAATAATCATCCTAAGCCTTATTTTAATCATTATAGAAAAAAAATTATTCACTATGCAAAACACTTTTATTTCAACTTTGAATTATAAAACTAAATTGTGTGAATCTAAGGCTTTATTTGGGATAAATTTTAGGTATAGAAAAATTAGTAAATAAAAATAAAGTTAACTTGGATGATAGTTTATTTTCACAAATTATTAAAAAATTACTTAATTTTTTTAAATATATTTAAAACCGTGATTAGAAAAAAATTAATCACAATAAATTTATAAAAACATAAACAGCCCCTAATACTGTTTGAACCTTGATTGATGAAAACAGGGCCATAAAGAGATCAAACTGCTTCCACGACAATGGCGACAACAGCCCGTGCCACACTTCCAGCAACCCTTTCATGATTATCTTCGGCGTCACGCAAATCATCTTCTCCCAAATTCCCGACTTCGACCAAATCTGGTGGCTTTCCATCGTCGCCGCCGTCATGTCCTTCACCTACTCCTCGATCGGCCTCGCCCTCGGCATCTCCGAAACCATCCGTCACGGCCACTTCAAAGGCAGCCTGACCGGCGTCACCGTTTCCTCCGTCTCCCAAACCCAAAAGATCTGGCACAGCCTTCAAGCATTCGGCGACATAGCCTTCGCCTATTCCTACTCCAACATCCTCATTGAAATCCAAGACACTATCAAATCCCCACCCCCTTCCGAAGCACAGGTAATGAAAAAAGCTAACTTTTTCAGCGTCGCCATTACCACCGTCTTCTACACGCTTTGCGGCAGCATGGGCTACGCCGCCTTCGGCGACGCCGCGCCGGGGAACCTCCTCACCGGCTTCGGTTTCTACAACCCTTACTGGTTGCTAGACATCGCTAATGCCGCCATAGTCGTCCATTTGGTGGGGGCTTACCAAGTTTTCAGCCAACCTTTATTCGCTTTTGTTGAGAAGTCGGCGAGGGAGAGGTGGCCGGATTCCAGGTTTATTAACAGAGAGGTGGTTGTGTCGATCTCGAAGGGTAGGAAGTTTAAGCTGAATATATTCAGGATGTTGTGGAGATCAACTTATGTGATCTTTACGACGGTGTTGTCGATGATGTTGCCGTTCTTTAATGATATTGTTGGGTTGATGGGAGCGTTGGGGTTTTGGCCATTGACGGTTTATTTCCCGGTGGAGATTTATATTGTGCAGCAGAAGTTGGAGAGGTGGAGCACCAAATGGGTTTGTTTGCAGCTGCTGAGTCTCGGATGTCTGATTATATCGGTGGCGGCGGCGGTCGGCTCGGTCGCAAGCATCGTTGATGATCTCAAGGTGTTTAAGCCGTTCAGGAACAATTACTGATGAGGTGGCTGTGGTTTACCCTGCTATTGTTTTTATTCTTGTGCTCTGAAAAAGGCTATTTTTGTTCTATCTTCTTTTTCAGCTGTTTTTTTTTTTTTTTTTTAATGAATGAAATTGTATCTGTAATGTAACATGCACACTTGCGGAAAGCGGGTATATTTTAAATTAATGTTTATTTTCGGAAAAAATTATTCTATGGGGAGGAGCAAATATTTAATAAATATACAATAAATCAACAAATACTTAGCTAATACTCATAAAATATTAAACGAATATTCGTAACTGAGTATTTGTTGAGTATTTGCTGAGAAATTACAAATACGCAGCAAAAACTTAGTAATTACGCACCTAATCCGAATGGTCAGAACTCTGCACATAATAAGGAAAAGGCTTGGCTTAACTTAAGGAGATGAGGATAGATTTTTGCTATTTTTCTTCCTTTTGAATTAACCTATAGTATTGTAATTTAATAAATGCATAGTTACAAAGAAAAACATAAAGTAATATAAATGGGATGTATTGAGATCATAAATTTATATCATGATTGTGACAACATCAACGAAATTAACAACACAAACCTTATTTCTCTATTTTGTGCTATTTTCATTTAAATCTAATAAATAAAGATGATTGCTAATATTTTTTAATCAAATTGTTTTAGATATTTCTCTATTTTTCTTAATCAGTTCTTCTTAGGTCTATCTCTATCTTTTCTATCTAATGTGTCTACTTTTCTAATCAGATCATTGAAAGACTATTATTTAGTGCAATCAAATTATCTAAAATGATTCTCTCTAATTTTATATGTTACTGGAGCTACTCCAACCTTACAATATGATTATGACATGGGTTTAATTATATACTCCTTTGATTTGTCCACATTTTTATAAAAGGTATAGACATGATTAACTAACACTTTGCAAGTACGGTTCATGTCACAAGATGCCCCTTTTTTTAAAAAAGTAATGTTTCATTTATTCCAATCAATAAAAGAAAATTACGACAAAGGTGCAACAACAAACAATCCCAAAATACAACAGTTAAAGAAAAGGTAAAATATTCTCTACCGAATGGAAAACCAATGACGAAGGCAAAAGAGCCAACTAATTGGACTCAGTAAATGGCAAGATGCTCCCTACACCAACCGGAAGCCAGGCAATGACCATCCAATAGTGGCAGCAACCCACAAAACACGAGCAACATCCCACAAGCCACACAAGCAACCGTCAAGCACGAAAGCATGGCGACCAAGGTTGCCAACAAGCCAAGGCTAATAAGGTGGTGAACAGAGAGCAGCCTCATCATCGTCCAGAACACCAATCAATTCTACACAATTGAATCGCACAACATCAAAAGAGAGGGTGTCAACCAAAAGGACTATTTCGTCTTAATTTTACTTCTACGCCTTTTGCTACTGGCACTTGATTCTACTTGATCAACAACGCATCCGACCATGACACTATACATATCATGAGACTCATATACATGCTCATATAAATCATCATTTGCACCCCCACAAACTGTGGTAAGTCCAACCAAGCAGCTTGATCCAAACTCGAATTATTCAACAACGTAGACATATGGGCTTTCAAATCCTCATTGGACATAACCAAAATTGGAATATCAACAAAAGCCGTCTCTTCCTTCGATACATTAATAATATTATACAAGGCTGGATCTAATGAAGTCAACAGTGAGTCAAGAGAATAGGATGACTAATTCAAAATAACCTTATTAACATCAAATACATCTAATTTGAGGCCATCCACATCCGGACAGGAAACATGAGTTGTTTCAACATTCACAACTGTATTAGCAACAGAGTTACCAACATCAATGGAAGGCACATCCATTCCAATAGCTGCTAGAGACGAGTTGACAGGTGGATCCGAAGCATCTTGAACATTCACATCAGCCTCCTCCTCAACAACAACATTCACATCATCATCCAGAGACTCAACATAAGGGATTATTTCCAAATGATTTTCCTCTAAATAACATTACCCTATATCACTTCTTGCATGGGAGTGACCAATTCAAATGTAGGATTAACATCATCAAGTATCACATTTCCCGAACGACCTTAGTCACCAACAACCTCCATTTCATGTAATGGTAGACCAACATTGCCATGAGAATCTCAAACACCCACATATGCCCCTAAATGAGGATGAAGAGAGACACATTCTTTTCTAGTATGACCTAAATCTTTGTAATGATCACAAAATGAATGAAATTCATCCATCAACACCGGTTGAACATAACCAAAATTTTCAGGACCCAACCACACCTTATCATGGTACCATTTTGAAATATCTAGTTCAACCAAAACTTTAGCAACTGACAGTCGAGATCCCTCTGTCCTAGCATTATTAGTTCGAAGAGGACGTCTAAAAAGAGCCCTGAGACCATATAAAATCTATGGAGAGAAGAAACACGGAAGAAAAGTTAGAAAGGAGACCCAAACTGGGACAATGGGGCATTCCTCATAAATGTCCACAAATGGGGACCACTTTGTTAATTTCATAAAACAATTATTAATAAAGTAGGATTAGTGAGCAAAGACACAATAGTAATCCATATCGCAATGCAATTTAATCAGAACATGGTGCGAATCCAAAAAGGTGACAAAACATTCCCCGGAAAGTTTTAAGTTGAAGAAGAACTTCCTAATTGCATCCAAGGATTGCCTATGGTTAGGGAAATAACTTATAAGAGGGAAAAAAAAGGGGATTGCAAGAGAATAAAACCTCTTCTTCCGAAAGCCACAGAGAAGGTAAACCCCGAAATAAAGTCGGCTTAAGGTCAGCAAAGGTCGCAGATGAGGAAGACCCATTAGGGCATCAATAAAAGGAGACTTGGATTTATCATCCAAAAATCATGGGTTGTCTAACCAAACAAGATTAGTTGCCATAACAAAGCACAAAATAGAGAAAATCCAAACCATCAACCAACAAGTAAGCCAAGAAAAAAATTCTAACAAAATGAGAAACTTCCCTGATCGAACAGAAGAGTCGCTCTAGGTCGGATGCAGGCGGAGAGCAGGAGAATCCCTAGGTCAACTCCATGTTTGATAATAGGCGATGGGAGGTGGCTAGGGCGAAGCGCCCCAGGCTTATCGGGGAGAGGGAAGCCTTTTTTTTTTAAATGAATTTTGTGAATGCTAGTCTCATTAAAAAAACCAATCATAAAATGATCTATCCCAATTTAATTTATGACCATATAAAGCAGTCACAATTATAATTATTACAATTAGTTGAAGTTTCAAAAAATTGCCCTTAAAATTCCTATCCAAATTATACTGACTACATATATGTTATCAAACAATTTTCTCGATCGGATATGAATCGCTATGTAAATATGAATAAGAAGCTTCCAAAATTTAATTTGGGACCATCTAAACTTTGATTCTAGCAAACTTATTGCCAAATTAAATATCTTAGAAAGTCAAACCCAATAACACCAAATTCAGTCTCCGAGCCCAAATCAAATGTTTAAAACATATTTAAAAGCTTTAAAATATCAATTGGATGACTAAATGATATCTAAATATGACATGATTATAAAAGAAACGAATAGCTCGATGATTTAAATCCAAGGAGCTCAAGATTACCAAATTCTAGCATCATTATGACATATACATGTTTGAAAAAAATTCCATGATCAAGGGGAAATATACTAGTCGTCCAATAGAGCACTTTAAATTTCCTCAGATCTTCTCTATATTCAATAGGCATATCAGTCCATAAAAATTATAAATAAATACTTATTCTTAACATGAGGGAGGGGAAAAAGAGAGGAGAAAACTAGGGAGCTCACTTGCATTCTCTAGTCTACATTGTCGTTGAATCTCTTCCTAGCAACCGACCATCACCAAACATCGATCCACCTACTAGTTGGCCTCCGCCAGATCTATTCCGACTACCAAACTTTACTTCACTTACACATGTTTTTTCTATGTTTCCAAAACTCTTTTTGACCATCAACCGTCATTGGACTTCCACCAATTTATTGGTTGTCGCAAGATTTCTTTTCGATTGCCAACTGTCACTAGACTTTCACCTATTCATTAGCTGTCAGATCTTTTCCTGACCACCGACTATCGTCGGACTTCCACCTATTTGTTAGCTATCATCTGATCTCTTCCCAACCACCGACTTTCATCACACTTCTATCTGATTGATGGCCATCACTGGATCTCTTCCCTACCACCAGCCATCATCGGACATCTACCCTTATGCTATTTATCATCAGATATTGTATCATCATCAAACCTCTACTATACCTCTCTTAATTGTTGACACCAAATTTCTAATATCTACAACTCAATCAAGATAAATAAAAATTTAGGAGTGCTTGTCTAATAATTAGCCAATTCTCAAATATATTGTATTCTTAGTGTTATCCAATTGAGAGAAGGGGCAACTTTTGTAACTTCATCAAATATAGTGGAGTCTTTTCATCTGGGTTAGGCCTCATAGTTTTTCCCTCTTTGGGGTTTCCACATAAAAATTTTGGTATTTCTTTATTAATTCAATTATCTAGTTGTGTGTTCAATTTTCATGCATTACAAAGACATAAAACCCTTTCACTTTATCACCACAATTCTCTTAGCTGCAATAGTTTGGTCCTATATATGGGAAACATTCCAAATGTTTCTTCTTTAATTTCCAATGAAAGTGTTACTAATAATAGATTCTCACATTCCTACACTCACCAAACTCAAAACTTATCTATCAATCATGGACATCATAATCATTCAAGGGGAGAACCTCAAACTTTAAAAACTTGAATTTGAAGGATGTAAGAACACCACGAAAGAATCCTACAACTATTGAAATAAGTGTTGCAGATCTGTTTTCATGGTTTATGATTTTGATGATAGCAAACACTCTTATTTTTCTATGATTGCTCTATCTACTAATATTTCAGGTCCACACGATCAGACTGCAATTTGGAACCAGCTCAAGCTTGGGTAGACTAGGACTAAGTCAGTTTGTACACTTTTTCCTTTCTTGAGTCTATTGTATTTGGTGTGGCTCCTGATGATTTGTAACTTGGAAGATTTTCTGTTGTTCCCTAAAGATTTCTATTTTTGGTAACATCGTCTGAGATGATATTTATATCGGCCTGGACGATTTGTTCAAAAGTAGAAACCTTAATTAGGGCATCATCATTAAA